GCTGTGAGTAAAGGTGCATTCAAGTCAATTCAGAAAGGGGATATAATTGTCATGGGAAATCAAACCATGTTAATGGCAGCAGTTTCAGTTTAGCATCACATTTGTATTTGTATTTTGTATTACAGTATAAAGTAAGCTACAGAGGATCAAACTGAATTAGCTAAATTAAGTGGCTTTCTTTATCCTGACTGTTGGGTGTAGGTATATTTGCCATGTGTTGTGTAGAAGACAGTTTCCTATCAGTTAATGTTTCCCCTTACCTGAACTGAACCCAAATAAAGTAATAATGTATTTGAATATTAATATGTAATTCCTCACCAAGTCTGATGTTAGCACAAAACCAGGCAGATGGTTAAATGATTGTGTCTTTGTTGCTTTGCTTCTTGCGCAACAAAATATAATTTTAATGAGATGGACAGAACCTCCAGAGTCGTATTTCTTTAAAAAATTATGATGCAAGATCAAAGGTGAAGCAATAGCATGAGTTTGTGATTGTTTGTCAAACTACCTTGTCCGGCATCTTATTTGATAAAATAGCCTATCAGTCGATTACCACAGGCTGAGGTCAGCCATTAAAGCAAAGCTATAGAAGTGAATGACAGGAGCAGGAGAGAGTCCTCATTGCTCTTAGTAGATAACATTTAGTGGCATCAAACATGCTCTGTGGATGCTACAGCTTGGACCCTCGCTACCCAGATGCATGAAGAGAATGAAGCTTAAAATGTCATCTCATACGTTTATTGTTTCTCTGGAAAATCGATAGCTTGGTAGCTTGATTTGGCTAACTCAAATTTCTATACCCTCAACATTAGCTTGAGTTAATTTTTTTTTTGCAATAATGGTTATGTCCCCTATGTCTGCTATCTCATGTTAAGAAGGGATCAGTCCAGGGCCAGTGTTCTATTGTGCATGTGAGTATTGTATTAAGCTAGATTTGAAAAATCTGAAACCCTTTTAAAGTTGTATGTATCAGACTCTGAGATGTGTTGAATACACAGTGATAGCTGCCCTGTTTTGAGATCAGCATGTCATGATGTTGCTGTGGTAGATAAACTGTATGATAACACACCACTGTGATGCTCAGTGTTTGCCCTGTGATTTCATGCAGTTGGGGTCTTGATTCATATCCATACCTTGTCTGAGTTCAGGCTTTAGCTTCAGTGCAGTTTTATGCCATCCAACTATTTAAGATACGGACATTAGTTTTTAGTTTTGAGGAGACAGCGTATTTTGTCATAATTCTTCTTTTAACAATTTTCTGATTCTCTCCTGTCTGCGTATGTTGACAGCACAACACTATCTGCCTAGGATTTTCTGTATGGACTCATATTAAACAGCTGTCCTGACTATTAAAGCATATTCCTCACTAGTGTCATTAATTCTGGTTCTGTTTTCTGACCCTATATTTGCCTTTGAATGTTGATCATTTATTTATTTATGTTATATTTGTTATTGCCAAGATTAAAGTCTTTGTGGTGACATCTTCATAAAGCGTGTACTCCATGAAAGACCTACTTGTGTGTGATAACCGATCTGTTTATCGCTGTCAGGAGCAAGGTTTTTTTTATTCGGCTTGTACTTTGTAGTTTGAATTAGTTTTTAAAGCAGATTTTTGTTTAGTTTTGTATTGATTTTGTGCAAGTTAAGTTAAGTGTCAGTATTATAGTTTTATATACAATACCTACTATCTATATCTAATATATATTTATTACGTTATTATATGTTAGGGATTTTGTAGATCAAGCATTAGGTGAACAAGTATTGGTCTAATAACTCATTTGGACAAAGATTTTACTTAGGTGTAATTTTAGTTTGAGATTATTTTTGTAAATACCCATACAGTCAGCTTTGCAGTTAGTTTTTTTTTGGTTTCTTTAAAATGCTCTGTTTTTTATTTATTTTTTCTGTTAATTGAAATGGTTTTTTTAATCTATTTATGCATTATTTGTTAGTTCCCCCCCCCACCCCCCCCCCCCCCCCCCACCCCCTGTATTTGATGATAACCTTGCGTTAGCAAACCCATTTTGGAGGATCCAGCCACGAACGAGGTAGATGCTAGATGCAGTGGTCGTTATGAAGATCATTTATACAATTCATTACAGTATATAATATATTTCGTTTGCAGTATAACTTCCTGTATGGAAATGGTTTTCCCACAGTTAAACTGCCCAGTCAGGAATCAGAATTTCGTTTGGCTAAGATATGGCTAACATCATGGTAACAGTGTCTCTGTTAACAATATCAGAGGCTCCCGACATAAATAATATAACTAATAATTAAGATCAGTCCTTTTGAATGAGTGATCATGAGCTCACTCATTGTTAATACTACATCAGAATTAGAATCTAATGAACAACTGCTGCATGTTAATTAAATTAAACCTTACTCTAACAAGTCACTTGTAGTTTAACTTATATGATCTAGTGTCTGTGTTCTTTTAAAAGATTGTCTTGACTGATGTTCTTGTATCCTTTTTGAGAAAATATTAAAGTGAAAGCGTGTAACTTTGAGAGCAAGAAATAAAATAAATCTTTCTCTTTACAAAATGAAAAATAGAAAAAATGATCATAATAAAAGAAACTCTTCCTCAGTTTCAATTGCATGTCACGGGTTTCTTCAAACAACCCGTCTGTGTGGACCAGGATGTCATAGTGGCTAATGTTAGCTAAAAAGTAGGTCAGTATGCATGTGTAATTAATGTCAATATGTTAAAGCAATGATCGATCCTGCAAACTAGAATCTTACCTCTGAGGCTGTGAATTGACCCCCCTGCTCTGCCACAGAACAAGTGTAGTCTGAGGTCTGGTGGCCTGACAAAAATCGCAGGGCCTAAAAAAAACCTGATGTTAATAGCTGTTGTCTTTTGTCTGCTACCCCTCTCATCTGTGACAGCTGGACAGAACTAGGACACTGTAGAAAGATTTTAGAAAAGCAAAAATGAAACTTGTAAAGTGTGTGTGTGTGTGGGGGTGGGGTGGGTAAATTATGGCCCTTGTGTTTAGCATCATAACAAAAAGTATTTTTTAAATATTCTTAAAAAAACAAAACAAAAAAAGACAACTGTGACACAGAATTTTGTTGTCAGACTATTCATTTAAAACTCCAAAGACACCGTGAAGATAATTAGTTATGTCCACACGTCCCTTCGATAGGAACAGACATTGAGGCCGTGCTAAATGAAGGAAGCTCTGGCAGGTGAAGTGGAGGCTGAAGCAGCAGCTTGATCAAGCAGCACACAACAAACACCAGCTGCTTCATGTTAGGTTGGACTGACCCCGCCTCCTTCACACCTCATCTGCTTACAGCACACACACACACCACCACACACCACACCACACACACACACACACACACACACACACACACACACACACACACGACACAGACATTGTCATTAGTGTGGGCATCGAGATGACTCATAACTTAAAAGAACATGCTGAAAAACAAAAAATGTAAATGTATTAACTTCATGTACTAAATCAATTAACATGGCAGGCACCCCAAGACAAAGGTTGCTGAGCGTTGATTCTGGCACAAGTGAGTCTGTAAACATACAGTATGTCTGTTGCACATCAGGCATTTTGCACAGGTGGTTTAAATAGTACATCACATGAATTTAATGTTCATGTCCGTGTTGTTTCATCACTGTCCACACTATCACATATGAGCTGGACCATCGTTAATATTGTATGATGTGTTTCCTACAATGACACAAAACACAAAAACATGGCACAAAAAACAGTTCAGTTCAGACAACTGCTGTTGTCAAACATCTCAACTCAAGGTCCACTTATTTGCTTGGTTTGGATCTTTTTTTGACTGAAAAACACCCAGTCTGGCATCAGTAAATTAAGTTTGGCTCGCTGTCTGTGGAACTGTAGCTGTTCAAGCTGTTGGAGCGCTTGTGGCCGATAGCTACAGGTCCATGCCACATGACTGCAACCATGTTTCCTGCCTCCTCACTCTTGACAATCACATAAAAACAAGGAATGTATAGAACAGACGTGCTGGCTCACCAGAGATGTGTTGGAACATTTT